CGCACCAACCACCTCTCGAAAACCTGACTCTGAAAGGCAGAACACAACCAGAGAAGAAGAAGAAGAACTAACTGTCACAGTTATGTTTACCCCATCTACGTGCATCAGTGGATGAGCACACAGTTACATATCGCAGGTGTTTCATAACTAGGTGTTCTAGTCTGTAATCTGTGCAAAATAACCTGCAGGAATCGTTTTCTTGTTGTGTTTCCTTTTTGTAAACAGAGGCGCTGCAACCCGGAGCTGAGACCACTTGAGCAACTGTGTCAACAAATATGTAACCCCTACCTCAATCTTGTACGAGTGGTATTTGTCCCCCCACCCCCCCCCACCACCATTAACCATGTTTAAAGAAGTGTATCTTTTAATTGTTTAAATACATGTTTTATTTCACAAATGGTCATATATTATAATAATTTTCCAGTCAGCACCTGATATAGTTCCCCCCCCCCCCCCCCCTTTTTTTTCCCCTACAAAATGTTTACAGAAGCTTAACCATCCCCCCCCCCCCCCCACTCGTCCTTCCCTTTTCCCCATAAAATATTTACAGGAGCTTCTCCCCCCCCCCCATCCCCCCCCCCCCCCCCCACCTCCCTTTTTTTTTTAGAAAATGTTTACAGAAGCTTATCTCACACCAGTATTTTGTTTTTCTCTTTTTACTTTCCTTTAGAAATTTTTTTGATTTAATTCGTTTTCCTTAGACACAAAAGCACAAATCTCCACCTCCAATACTTTCTAGTATCATGAAATACTGAGCTATTTGTTTTAAAAACAGATTGCTGATAAATATGTTATTAACTTTTATTTAAACCTAGGCTTTTAAGATTGTAAAAAGTACGAAAATAAACCGCTAGCTTTTCCTAACAATGAGCGTATTGCCTTGTTTGCGTATTTGTAATTACACTCAGCTTTGTTTTTCATGTCAAGGAGAAATGCTGTCACTTGACGGCTTCAGTGATTAAAGTTCTCTGTTGTGTCTGGATTCTTGTAGCGGCGTGTCTTTTGTGCACACCCCACAGCTGATTAAAGTCATCAGCAAAGCTGGTCCTATGTGGGCTTCCATAGACACGCGGATGGGGACTGCGATCTGCTCTCAATGTGTGTTTGTACGAGTTCAATGCAGTCTTCCAATCTTGCAGAATTCTGCACTTTTTGATAGACAGACAGGTCGAAAGCAGTGTTGATGAAAGTGCTGATAACATTGTTCTATACAGCCGCTGCTGCAACAGCATCTGCTGGTGCTGCCATTAATACAACTACCACCACCATCACGACCATTATCTCTATTACCACCACCACTACTATTATACCACTTTTGGTGCTACTACTGTTGCTGCTGCTGCTATTATTGCTGTCGTGTCTGCTGTTGCTACTAATGAAGGGATAGAAGAAGAAGAAGAAGAAGAAGAAGAAGAAGAAGAAGAAGAAGAAGAAGAAGAAGAAGAAGAAGAAGAAGAAGAAGAAGAAGAAGAAGAAGAAGAAGAAGAAAAAGAAGAAGAAGAAGAAGAAGAAGAAGAAGAAGAAGAAGAAGAAGAAGAAGAAGAAGAAGAAGAAGAAGAAGAAGAAGAAGAAGAAGAAGAAGAAGAAGAAGAAGAAGAAGATGGGAGGAGAAAGAGAACAACAACAACAATAAACATGACACAAATGCCTAGATTCTACAAGCCTGGTCGTCTCACACGTGCTCCACAACTTTTTCATCATCCAGTGTGTCGCATATAAACCCTAGAAACACAAAACCAGCCCCCAGACCGGAATGTCGCGCCAAACAGAATGTATACGTCACATCCGGTGCTTTAATCGTTACAGCGATATGACTTGTTTATGATTTTGATTCCTCGCAAACAGGGGAAAATACAGGGAAATCACTCAGTTATGTAATGACAATCCGGACATGTCGGTCTGAATGGCGTGGGTACCAAGTAATAGAAACGGACATCAACAAACTACTATTAATTAGTTTACTAAGATGACTATACCGTTGTGGTCTGCTGTTGCGAGCCTCGAAGGGATCAACAGCGAATTATGGACGGTAGCTTTCTGCATCAAGGTACCAAGATTAACACCAATACACTAGAGACTGTATAGTGCAAAACAGAGTGGTTGATGAGAAAAAGGCTCGAACAGCAACAGTTTATCTATGAACACAAGATTGCTGTCGCCTGCCATTCAGGCAACTTGTGCAACAATTTTCGGTCTAAGATCAGTACACTTAACGCTCAGCTATCGCATGCATACAGTAAAGAGTTGAGTCCCCACAGTGTGCATGTCAGATGGGACCACAAACATCTGAGCACATTCTGAAGGCCTACCCATTATACTTACAAGTGGTGCTGCTGCCTTCACCACAAGTAGTCTGACTATGGAGGTCCTGGCAGTGACCAAAGCAATAATATGGCTGGAGACACAGATCTTTTCCCGTGCATGCTTTCTCGGTGACTCAGTGAGTATGATCAAACATACACAGATATACTGGATCCGAAGACAGTGGCTGGAGTCTCTAAACCGGTCAGGACTGACACATATCAGTTTCATATTTGGGCCAAGGTACACGCGGGCGTGTAAGGAAATGAACAAGCTGATTGGCTTGCAGGTAAAGCTACCGCGGAGGGCGGACGATACATGAACCATGCTGATAGTCTGACTGCTCTACGAGAGAACCAAGTGATGACTGAATCTGCAACAATGACCAGACTGCAAGAACCAAGTGATGACTGAATCTGCAACAATGACCAGACTGCAAGAACCAAGTGATGACTGAATCTGCAACTATGACCAGACTGCAAGAACCAAGTGATGACTGAATCTGCAACAATGACCAGACTGCAAGAACCAAGTGATGACTGAATCTGCAACAATGACCAGACTGCAAGAACCAAGTGATGACTGTGAATCTGCAACAATGACCAGACTGCAAGAACCAAATGATGACTGAATCTGCAACAATGACCAGACTGCAAGAACCAAATGATGACTGAATCTGCAACAATGACCAGACTGCAAGAACCAAGTGATGACTGAATCTGCAACAATGACCAGACTGCAAGAACCAAGTGATGACTGTGAATCTGCAACAATGACCAGACTGCAAGAACCAAATGATGACTGAATCTGCAACAATGACCAGACTGCAAGAACCAAGTGATGACTGTGAATCTGCAACTATGACCAGACTGCAAGAACCAAGTGATGACTGAATCTGCAACAATGACCAGACTGCAAGAACCAAATGATGACTGAATCTGCAACAATGACCAGACTGCAAGAACCAAATGATGACTGAATCTGCAACAATGACCAGACTGCAAGAACCAAGTGATGACTGAATCTGCAACAATGACCAGACTGCAAGAACCAAGTGATGACTGTGAATCTGCAACAATGACCAGACTGCAAGAACCAAATGATGACTGAATCTGCAACAATGACCAGACTGCAAGAACCAAGTGATGACTGTGAATCTGCAACTATGACCAGACTGCAAGAACCAAGTGATGACTGAATCTGCAACAATGACCAGACTGCAAGAACCAAGTGATGACTGAATCTGCAACAATGACCAGACTGCAAGAACCAAGTGATGACTGTGAATCTGCAACAATGACCAGACTGCAAGAACCAAATGATGACTGAATCTGCAACAATGACCAGACTGCAAGAACCAAGTGATGACTGTGAATCTGCAACTATGACCAGACTGCAAGAACCAAGTGATGACTGAATCTGCAACAATGACCAGACTGCAAGAACCAAGTGATGACTGAATCTGCAACAATGACCAGACTGCAAGAACCAAGTGATGACTGTAAATCTGCAACAATGACCAGACTGCAAGAACCAAATGATGACTGAATCTGCAACAATGACCAGACTGCAAGAACCAAATGATGACTGAATCTGCAACAATGACCAGACTGCAAGAACCAAGTGATGACTGAATCTGCAACAATGACCAGACTGCAAGAACCAAGTGATGACTGTGAATCTGCAACAATGACCAGACTGCAAGAACCAAATGATGACTGAATCTGCAACAATGACCAGACTGCAAGAACCAAGTGATGACTGAATCTGCAACAATGACCAGACTGCAAGAACCAAGTGATGACTGAATCTGCAACAATGACCAGACTGCAAGAACCAAGTGATGACTGTGAATCTGCAACAATGACCAGACTGCAAGAACCAAATGATGACTGAATCTGCAACAATGACCAGACTGCAAGAACCAAGTGATGACTGAATCTGCAACAATGACCAGGCTGCAAGAACCAAGTGATGACTGAATCTGCAACAATGACCAGACTGCAAGAACCAAGTGATGACTGAATCTGCAACAATGACCAGACTGCAAGAACCAAGTGATGACTGAATCTGCAACAATGACCAGACTGCAAGAACCAAGTGATGACTGAATCTGCAACAATGACCAGACTGCAAGAACCAAGTGATGACTGAATCTGCAACAATGACCAGACTGCAAGAACCAAGTGATGACTGAATCTGCAACAATGACCAGACTGCAAGAACCAAGTGATGACTGAATCTGCAACAATGACCAGACTGCAAGAACCAAGTGATGACTGTGAATCTGCAACAATGACCAGACTGCAAGAACAAAATGTTAAAATGGGTGCGGCCAGACAAGAGCACTATGTAGAAAGCCAAAGAAGAATAAGAAACCAACATAGAACCGGAGTCGTGAGCTGTTACACCTACAATCGTTGACACCACTGGACTATTTTCACAGTACAATTCTCAGAGTTTGGAAACATCCTTCTCGTAACTTTCACCTCTGGTACGAGAGTTACACCGTAAGAGACGTGGTGACGTCACCACGTAATTTGCTCATAGTTAGCAGTAGATATATTGCAGCTAACCTCAGATGTAAAGACGGTACATTACCCACCCCCCCCCCCCCAACCCCCTCCCCACCCCTCCTTTGCATATAAAAAATAACACAGCCAATGAGACAGAGGAGAACATCTGTCAGAGTGACCTACCTCCCGCACTAGAGTATTTCCAGCTGTTCCCGGGACCCGCTCGATGAGAATGTTTGGGAGAAGATGTTCAAAGATGTTCTGCTGGCTGGACCCATCTGTCAACAAGTCGTCCAGTGCTGCCCGGGGAAATCTGGCCATGCAGTCGTCTTGGCCATTCTGTGGATAAGTGACAGAGAATCAGTTCTTGGTGACATTGTTGATGTTGTTGTTGTTTGCTGTTTCATCAGCTGTAACTAAGATATGGTAGAGACATAAGCAGTCATGTTAAACAGTTCTAACTCTTGCAATGTCAAGTAAAAGTAAAGATCCGTTTTCACACTTTTAGGCGCATTTGGGAAGAGCACCTATTTCTTTACAGACCAATCGGCACTAGGTTGATAATGTGATCGCCGGCCGTCTTTACTTCCCCAGGATATAATTCCTGGTACCTATTTTAGGCTGGGTCGACCTGCTACGCCCCAAACCACAATAAAAATCCACACAGCCAGCAGTAGGTTTCGATCGCGGTACGTTGGAATTAAGAGTCGGATATGCAATGCCTGAGCCACGGACCCCGCGTAACTATGACCTGAGGGGTTCACAATGGGATTGTGTCTTCTAACCTCATTATGCCTAAAAATGTGATTCTATGGTTATGTGTCGAATTTTAACTGAAGTAAGATGTTCTATCCGTCTATCTGTGTGTCTGCATTTGCAAGAACATTCTAATCAGGACTGGGCAATTTTCTGTGGATAATCTCACAGATGGATAATCCCACAGATGGACAATCTCACAGATGAATAATTTCACAGATGGATAATCTCACAGATTAATAATCCTACAGATGGATAATTTCACACTTGGATAATCACACAGATGGATAATCTCACAGATAGATGGACAGACATTTACAAAGACAGTTTGTTTTTTCTTCTGTACACATAACAGTATTGTTTTTGAACCAACATTATGTTACCAGGACCAGACATATCATAAATATGACAAGAGACACTGGAAAACACATGACGATATCAGGGAAGAAGCTGGAACGGAACCAGTACTAAACTACACCAAGAGAACAGATCAAATGGTTTGGACATGTTTCAAGACTACCACCAGAGAGAGAGAGAGAGAGAGAGAGAGAGAGAGAGAGAGAGAGAGAGAGAGAGAGAGCCCTGTAACTTTAGACATAGTGGAAGCATTAGAGGCCAACCACACAAGTGATGGATAGATGGAGTATGTGAAGCATGCTTTAAATACCAGCATCAATGTAGCACGTTCCATGGTTCGCTCCAGTGCCTTTTTAAAACCTGATCGAACGAAAGAACAGGAGCAAGAGAAGAAGAAGAAGAAGTAGTAGTAGTAGTAGTAGTAGTAGTAGTAGTAGTAGTAGTAGTAGTAGTAGTAGTAGTAGTAGTAGTAGTAGTAGTAGTAGTAGTAGTAGTAGTAGTAGTAGTAGTAGTAGCAGTAGCAGCAGCAGCAACAGTAGTAGTAGTAGTAGTAGTAGTAGTAGTAGTAGTAGTAGTAGTAGTAGTAGTAGTAGTAGTAGTATAGTAGTAGTAGTAGTAGTAGTAGTAGTAGTAGTAGTAGTAGTAGTAGTAGTAGTAGTAGTAGTAGTAGTAGTAGTAAGTAGTAGTAGTAGTAGTAGTAGTAGTAGTAGTAGTAGTAGTAGTAGTAGTAGTAGTAGTAGTAGTAGTAGTAGTAGTAGTAGTAGTAGTAGTGATAACGTAAATCTTAGTGACGAGTCGATGTGATATTAAGACACGGACTGTGATTAGAAAACTCCATGGAGGTATTGAAAATTATCTTAAACATTCTCTCCGCTCAGCGTTCTAGCCAGGTTTGTGTTGTATTTGGTAAAAGTATTTTACACTCAAATCTTGCACAATGAAATATATACTTTCCTAATGCATCACTAAGTTGAAAGCACTTACATTTAGTAATCTGTGTTGTACTGGGTAAAAGACTGTATACTGGAATCTTGCAATATGAAATAAATACTTTCGTTATGCGGAAGTAGTTTCATGTTTTAATTTACCCGAAGCCTCCTTGACCCACTACTCTGTGTGAGATCACCAGAGACATGACAGAGAGGCTGTTTGCAAGCCTTTTTTCCCGATCGACAGATAGTGGGAGACACAATAACAGATGGAACGGCATATTAGGGATGTTTGAGTTGAGATTAAAGTGTGGTTCTAGAGTGGAGTGCGAGCGGACGAGACTTGTTTACAGCCAGCCGGGTAATGAACCGTTGGAATCGATGTCAGGAGTCGAAAACTCTTTGAGTAGATCGTGCCGAGACAATGTGACAAAGTCACTCTCAGTGCCAGCCCGTCCACCATATTTTAATTCTGTCACTACCAGGTCAATGTTTTATAATACGTTCTATGATAAACATGGGCAACGTTGAGCATTGTATGCGTGGCACTAGTTGTTGTTGTTGTTGTTGTTGTTGTTGTTGTTGTTGTTCGTCCATTACAAGTGACCATGACCACTTTCTTTCATCTGTCATGAAACTGCTGTTGATTGGCTGTGAGTCTGAGGAGGACTTATAAGCCTAGTACGACACGGAAGAATATGGGGGAAGGGGAACAGGAAACAGCGTCTGCAGGCAAAGGGCCTGTTTTACGGCTCTTTCTAGCCTGTCTTCGCTGTTTAGCCGCCCTTTTTTCTAGATACCTCGTAAGTTGTTTCTCAAGTCCTTCTGATTTCATAATTTAAAATTGCGCAGGTGCTGCTGTTTTCTTAAAGCAACGAATTTCTTTGATCTTTGTTAGACTAACAATTTGTGGAAACCATTTTTTAAAAAGCCCACAGTAATTGTCATAAATCGTGTACTTTTATGATCCAATCAGCAAGTATTAAAGTATTATATGACATATTCACTTCACTATTCAAAATACCCGCGCCTTAGCTTCTAGCACAGATTACCTCTAAAAACGTGTGCAGTCTGTTGTTTTGCTAACTTCGCCTTAGATCATTTACTGTAAACACGCTAACTCATGCTTTAAATATGGGTCTGTTTCGTTTTCATATACCACAAATAAGGGAAAACAAAAACTAGATATTTTTACATTATAATCATTTTTCTGCAAGGACATGATTATTTAAAGGTTGCACGCCAGATTCCAACAGCTTACAACGAACGGTTCGTCAGTTACAGATGTTTTTAAGTTAGACACGACATTTGGAACGGACTGTACAATTGTTACTGTGACTGTACATTTTTGTATGGTACAGAAATACGACTTAGGTGTTGCGAGTCTGACTCGTAATTCCAACGTACCGCGATCGAAACCTACTGCTGGCTGCGTGGATTTTTATCGTGGTGTCGAGCGTCGCAGGTCTACCCAGCGCAAAATGGGTACCAGGATGTATGTCCTGGGGAAGTAAAGGCCGCCGGCGTAATGATGACCACATTACCCACCTAAAGCCGATTGGTCTATAAAAAAAATGGCTACCGATTGGTCTGTAAAAAAAATGGCTGCTATTCCCATATGCACGATGCACCTAAAAGGCTTGAAAAGAGATCTCTACTTTACTTTTATAGAAATAAGGACTAAAACATATGCAACCTCACATGATATTAGGTGACAACTGAAGATATCAAAATGTGGATTAACACACCAAAGGATGGAATAATGTGCCAAGAAAAGAAAAAAGAAAGCAACGAAAAAAGCCTCCAAAAACTGGCATTGAAGAAGTCATCACTGGATGAGATGGAGATATCACAATCATGTCAACAGAAACCACCCTTTGTGAGAGAATGTGCTGGGGGACGAGTGGAGAGAGAGAATGTGCCGGGGGACCAGTGGAGAGGGAGAATGTGCCAGGGAACGAGTGGAGAGGGAGAATGTGCCGGGGGACGAGTGGAAAGGGAGAATGTGCCAGGGAACGAGTGGAGAGGGAGAATGTGCCGGGGGAGCGAGTGGAGAGGGAGAATGTGCCGGGGAACGAGTGGAGAGGGAGAATGTGCCAGGGAACGAGTGGAGAGGGAGAATGTGCCGGGGGACGAGTGGAAAGGGAGAATGTGCCAGGGAACGAGTGGAGAGGGAGAATGTGCCGGGGGAGCGAGTGGAGAGGGAGAATGTGCCGGGGAACGAGTGGAGAGGGAGAATGTGCCAGGGGAACGAGTGGAGATGGAGAATGTGCCCGGGAACGAGTGGAGAACGAACGAACGAACGAACGAACGAACGAACGAACGAACTTTATTGTCAAAGGGTCACAAATTGGGCACGCAGGCCCGTCTTACATTTGGCCCTTCCAGTCAACCATCTTTCACACAGCAATTGTATTTTACTAATAAAGCATGTTATGATCATATGATGATATGCATATTATGAATATTATAAAAGAACACAAAAGCATGAGTTGTAAAGTGCATGAAAAAACCTGCGCGTGCATACATACACCCACATACACACGCTCACCCACTCACTTACACACACATACATACATACATTGCATACATACACACATACAGGCACACATACATACACACATACATACATACATACATACATAAAAACAAACATGCATACACACATACACATAGGCATACATACACACAAACATACATACAAAGATACAAACATACAGGCATACATACATACATACATACATACATACATACATACATACATACATACATACATTCAAACATACATAATACAGGCATACACACATACAAACATACAGTCATAAATACAGTCATGCATGGACACACACACTTGCACACACGGACACTCCCACAGAGACACACACACTCAGACAAAAATACAGACACACACACAGACACTTACGTATAAACACACAGGGAAACACACAGCACACATATTTACATTCGTGCTCGCACACTGACACACACAGCACACACACACACACATACGCAGACGAACATGCAGACACATACACACAGCCACATAGACACACGCAGTCAAACACACACACACACACAAATACAGACAAACAGGCAGACAAACCCATACTGACATCCACAGAGACAAACACGCAGAAGTGCATACACATGCAAACACATAGAAATACACAAGCAGACATATATTCAGCACGCACAGACATATACTCTGACATGCAGACACATACAGACAACAAAGGGGCACACACAATACACACAGAGAAACACACATAGACATGCACAGACAGACAGACAGACACA